AGTATCTTATATGCCACATACACACATGCTCACACACTATCTTATATCCTATATACACACGTGCCCACACACTATCTTATACGATATATACACACGTGCCCACACACTCTTATATGTATAAACACACATGCCCACACAGTATCTTATATGCCAATATGCCATATACACACATGCCCACGCACTATCTTATATGCTATATACACACATGCCCACACACTCTTATATGCCATATACACATGTGCCCACAATCTTATATGCCATATACAAACGTGCCCAACACTCTTACATGCTATATACACACGTGCCCACACACTATCTTACATGCTATATACACATGTGCCCACACATGATTGTATATACTCAAGTGCCCACACGCTATCATATATGCTATGTACACACATGCCCACCCACGATCATATATGCTAATACACGTGCCCACACGTAATCCTATATGCTATATACACTTGACCACACACTATCATATATGCCATATACACATCTGCCCACACGCTATCTTATATGCTATATATATGTGTATCCAGATAATTTCCAGTGAGATGCTTGGGATATTCACAACTGTTACCCCTGGGACTAGGACAACAGAAACAGACTTTCACATTTTATTTTATACTGTTCTGTTTGACATTTTAAATAGCACTTAGTTTCATAATAAACATAAAAACGTTTTCTAAAACTTACTTGTATGGGAAAACATGGGTTTTGGTTCTCACAAGTCACCTGGCAGTCAGCCCCTCCCCCGAAGGCAGCTTTGCTGGTGCTCTGCGGTGTGAACGCGATGTCATGGTCGATGTATTGTCCCCATGCCATCAGGAGGTCAGAATAGCGGTCATCATCTGTGACAACCTCATTTGAAACTTGAATGACATGTCGTGTCACCTCCCGGACCTGGGTAGGAAGAGACCATTGGTCAGGACATAGGAGACCCCGTGGGAGAAGAAAGATGACCTTTGGGATCATGCAGTTCCTGGTGTGGTTCCTGTTCACAGAGCTCCAGGTGCCCCTAGGAGATCTGTGCCCTGGAGTTAGGGCGGGAGGAGCGTGAGCTTTGAAGACAGAGGCCCTTGGACTCGAACCCCTGCCTTGATTTGTGGTGGCTGGAGGGCCTGGCGTTAACTTCCCTCAGCCCCGGCTTCCTCATCTTTAAGTTAATACAGAAAGGTTGATCTTTCAGGGTTGTTGTCAGGATTAAGTGAAGAGTCGTCTATTTTGAGTCCATGACTCAGAGGGCAGAGCCTCCAGCCACAGGCATTACTCCTTGGCCTTGAAGCCTAAGGGATGTTGCCTGGCTGGATTTCCACGTGGGTTGGGAGGAGCGACTCCCCTTCCTTTCCTTTCTCCACCCAGATGTCTGCTGCTGTTATGTTTAACACCGTTCTGCCAGGGCATCTGGAGAGCAGACGACAGGCTTCCCTGTCTCACAGGCTAGGTCCAGATGGAGAGGAATTTTGTCCTGGATGGATCTTACCCTGAGCCTGCCCTACCTGATGTGGATGATTTATATGGCGAGATTTGGATTGGATTTTGGGCCTGGAGTTGGTGCTGTCATGGGATGGGGTTTGGGGGAACCTTGGGATGGGGTGAGCATGTTATGCTCGAGGACGGGGCATGAATCTTTGAGGGTCAGTGGGTCATCTGTGGAGGCAGAAAAATGCCTCTTGCACAACATCCATTCGCGAATCCTTGGAGCCTGCGGATGCGATTACATTAAGGGCCTTGGATGGGAAGGTTGTCCTGGGTCTCCACGAGTGTCCAGTCCAATCACCTGGGTCCTTAAAGTTGGAGGCCCTCTCCTGACTGGAGGTGGAGCTGTGACCCTAAACAAAGGCACAGAGACACAACATTGCTGGCTTTGAAGGAGGGGCCACGAGCCAGGGGATGCGGGCACCTCCAGGACTGGAATTGCCAGGAAAGGGGTTCTCCACTGGAACCCCCAGAAGGAACCAGCTCTGCGACACCTGGATTTGAGCCAAGTGAGACATCAGACACTGATTACGAAACTGGAAGATCACATTTATGTTGTTTTCAGCCACTAAATTTGGAGTAATTTGTCACAGCTGAGGAGAAAACGAACACAATTTACATTTAAGGACACTTGAACTCTGATTTTTCTCAACAGTGAAATAATTCTGAGCAAATATGGGTTTATAGAATCACAGGCTCCTAATACTGAGAGTTTAAGAAGCCCTGGGGGTTGAACTGATCTCTACTATTGAGCACAAGGTGGGTAAGACAGTGTTATCCCATTTTAGGGATTGTCCAACTGAGGCCAAGAAGGCAAGTGACTTGCAGGAAGCCAGTGGGAGCAGAGCGTGAGCCCAGTCCCCTCGTCCCTGCTGCCGGGAGCACTGAGCCGTCCTCAGTGACTCTGCCTCCAGCTCTACCCAGGGCTGCTCATGGCTTCTGGGCACACCGGGTCCTCTTACTAAAAGCCTGCCTGGGAAAATTGCCGAGGTAAAGTTGCTGGCTTTCGTAGGGGAACTCTGTGCTGGTGTACCTGTCCACGGCTGGTCTGAGTCAGACCTGAGTCCTACCACCTGGCCTCTTTGGGCTAAACAGAATATCCACTGCTGTATTTCTAGATAATTTCGTCACTGAACATGGCACAAGAGCAAACAGACTGGCTCATTCACTGAAATGAGTAGTTAAATTACAAGCAAAATGACCCATTTTTTGACCAAATAGACCAGTAGATTCTACTAGGCTATGACTGTTCAGCAAATAAATTCACCTCTGGGAGAAAAGTGATCATCTTTACATCAGTGAGTGGATTGCTGAACTCAAAGGCATCTTGGGATGTACCGAGCCCACATGATGGGTAAAGGAACTTATCTGAAAACACTGAAGTGATTTTCAGGAACAGAAATGTTAGGGTTGAGAAAACTTAATTTAAATCTGCAGGGTTCCGCTCACTAAGCGATTTTAATCTCCCTGAGCCTTGGCTCCTAAGCCATAGGGCAGAAACAGTGATTGCTACACCAAAGGGAGGCTGGGAGGATCTGAACGAGTTGCACGTGGCACCCAGCACGAGCAAGAACCCAGTAAAAGGCTACTTCCCTCCCTCAGCATCACAGGACCCAATCCTCGTCCAGGGTAGCAGTGTCCCGAGTACCCACCGGGGGCAGTGGGAACCCGTTGTGCAAGAAGCCGGGGTTCCAGCCTCGGGGCTGACTGAAGCCGTCCTCGTAGACTGGAGGGAGCCATCGTGCCAGGGCTGTGTTGGAGGCGCCCCATCTGGGGTGGTCTCTGCGGAGACAAACGCAAGGATGTGTTTGAGATGGCGGAGAAGAACGCAGAAGCAGAGAGTCCCAGATATAAGGAACCATTCCCAGGGAGAATAAGTGGGGTCTCTCCGGAGGCCCAAGGGGCACAGCTCCCCAGAAGACCCGAAATGCCTCCTGGAGGCCCAGGTCATGGCTGGATTCCAGGGAGCTCATCGCAGAGGCTCGGTTCCCACAGGCGCCCTCTCCCGAGTGCGGCACGTGCTGTCTGGAGGTGGCTGCCTACAGGGTTCCTTCCCACTCCCCTTCAGGAAAGTTTCTCCTACTGTTTTCTGAAGGAGGGTCTCCCACCCTTCTAGAATGTACCAGGGGCAGTTCTCTGGAGGACAGAAACTTCTGGTACTCCAAACAAAGAGATCATTTAAATCCTGTGGCATAAAACATCCTTTAATCAAAGCACCACGAAGCCACCAGGGTGTCGTGCCTGTTCCTGCCCCGTGTGATTGTCCAGGCGAGCTTGCGGGAACTGAGGAAGTTGCTGGTTTTCTGATTTCAGAAGGGAGATGGTTGTCAAAGGAACCATTAATATATGAATTTGAATTAAAAATAAAATAAGTTAAAAATAAAGTTAAGTCTCTCCTGAGAGAGAAAGTCGGTTGTATTTGGCTGTTTGATTTGGCGATGAGAATGGATTCAGCCAGTAAGCTAGATGGTGAAGTTTCCCATAAGTAGGCTGGTTTGCAGTTTCCTTCTACTGGTCAACATATATTCTGACAAAAATGTATTTGAAGTGCATGATAAGGCAAAGGTGTGTTGAACACTTTGATTTCACACCTAGTTCTGAGTGTACTGTGTTAAGCAAGGTGCCCCTAAGTTGAAGGGATGTAGGCACAATTAACAGTCACTTGATGTGTCTTGGAACATTTTCTAGAAATTGAGGAAATACAAGACTAAAGATTCGTAACTAGTCCTTGTGTGAATCAGGTATTTTCCAATATTTTGTTTAGAAATTTGGAGGACAATGTTATTGAATTGTTTGCTGATACATGAATAAAAATCATTTTAATGATAGCTCATCATATGTTCATTTTCTTCTACATCTCAGAAGGGGTTTTGAGGGCCAGATGGGAGAGCTTTTCCCAGTGACATAGTCACACGGTCGGTTTCTAGGCACGTCCATCTGCGAAGGTAAAAATAATCACAGGGTTGCGGCTGAACTGTCTGATCTATAGTACGCAGGACGATCATATAATTCCTAACCACAGTGGAATACTTTTGAGGAGACAGGAGCACTGTTAATTATTAATAATTTCCTGGGATAGAAGGCATAAATAGGAAGGATCTCGGGTAACCAGCATACATGGCCCCTCGGCCAACAGCTGATGTTCAGCCAACTGCTGAAGGAACTAACGGAAACTCCACCCATCTCATCAATAAACTAATTCCATCAAATATTTATCTCTATGCATAATAATTACCAACATCTGTCATAGATCCGTGCTGATTAAATCGATTATGTTCTAATAATGTGTAAAAAATAACTCAATCTTGAAGAAAACCACGAACACTGAGACCCTGTACTCACTGAACATTTTTCTAAATATGAAATTTAAATTTATAACATATATAAAAATGTAACATACAAAATAAAATACATATTCAAATATGTAAATGTATGGTAAGACTATATGAATGTGAAGAATATATAAATGAATATGCCAAATATATGACATGAGCATAAATATCTGTAGAGGATAGGTAAAATAAAGAAATATGTAAAACATATTAAAAATAAAGGACTTTCAAGTATAAAATATTCTGCATTTGGAATAAAATGGCTCAATTTACAAGGCATAAATTATTCTGGATTTGGAAGGAAATATGGGGGAATTAGAATATAAAAGTCAATTCAAAGAGAAAAAAACAGAAATTTTTTTGTTGGAAAAAAGTAGGTTCCTTTTGTTAAAAATAAATACAGATTGTTTTGGGTCTAACATTGTCATGATATCTGGGTTCCATTGGTATCTGTCAGTCAAGCCCTGTGGGAATAACTGGCACTGGGGTTCTGTGTGTGGCAGCTGCAGAGTCATGCAACACAACCAGGGCTGAGTCTGCAGAGTCTGAAGCTGCATCGTGGACAACTGGTACTGGAAGGCTTTGCAAGGCACACGACGAAAGAGTCAGGCGTGACCAGGGTGCAGGCTTTGAAAATCCTTCCATGTATCTGATGTGTACGCACTTAGAAAATACAAGGAGTGAAGTCTACAAGAATCATGACAAGATAAGCAACTTTTTAAAACATTTGGAGTGTTTGGGAATATAAATATTTAAAAATTAGTTGTGGTTTTGTCACTAAGTTACCATTGCCTTATGGTTATAACATACATTAGTCATTCGTATTAAATGTGACTGATTTAGACGTTCTGCACAGGAATGAAGGGACCAAGGTTCTGCTCAGAACTGTTTGTAACCTGGGCAACATGTGCGAAGGAAAGATTCCTTTTGTCCTTGAGGTAGACTGAAGAGCTGGGACTTCCGGTTTAAAAGCCTCTAAGGCCACCGTGCAGCTCCGGACATTAGAGGAGAGAAGGTTTTACTCCTACTGTCGTGCACCTGCTGCTACCTCATCTAGGACACTTTCGAGGATGAGCCGTCAGCAGCGGCAGGAGGCTTGGGGACATGGTTACTTCTCTCTGTCTGCAAGGATCGTAAGGAGAGAATAATTCTATTATTAATACTTCGTTAATCTCCAGCACACCAAAGTGGCTCAATTAGCAAAAATGTGTGGGAGAGTAATGCATATAATTTGCCGCAATACATCAGCATCTGAAGACTGGAAAGATTGCTTTCATAAAGTGTTCAGATCTGTTATGGTTGGTTGGTCTTTATTGAAATTCCATAAAGTGTGGCTCATAGGGAGGTGCTAGATCACTCAATTAAAAATAATGAAATGCTAATTTAACTGCTTAAGCGGTGATTTTTTTTGCTGATTGACTTTTCTATTTCAGCAGTTCACTAGGACATCACAACAGCCCAAGAGCACTCACAGATGTTTGTTGTGGACGTTCCGCAAATGTGTCACCTTCACGGTCAGCAGGTCAGCAGGACTGAGAGGGTCCCTCGAGACTTTGCTCAGCTCCTGTTAGAAAGACCCTTTCCCAGTGGACACCTATTGCACCACACTGTTCCTTCATTAGATCTGGATTAACGGCAGCATGGGAAAAAGGATCACAAAGCTGACAAAACGAGCAAAGAGAAACATTTCTGGAGGAGAGTTTCAGGAGGGAGACCGAGGTCTGTGCTCCCACCGAGGCTCCGAGTCACTCGGATTTCCCTGGGACACTAGCTCCCCTCTCCCAGGCACCTGGCAATGGAGACTTTGTGATTTCTGAATTCCAAAGAGAAAAGAAATTCTAAACTTCCATCTTGAAGAGAGCTGGAGCGTGAAGCTGTGGCCTGAGGCTAAGAGACACGGGTCAATATGTTTGCCAGGTGTGGCCGTCCAGTAACGGCACATGGACACGCTCAGTGCCGGAGGTGTGTGCCGCCCGTGAAAAGAAGCACACAGCAATGCAGTGTGACACGCTGGGAGAGAAACAGTGGAAGAAGTCAGCTTTCTACTCCTCTGCAACCACACCTCTTTCTCAGCTGGGCGGCGGCGGGACATGGGATGAGGGGGTTTGCTTCTCTGTATGGGAGGTGCTCACCCAGGAGCAGCCGACACCCTGCAGTCCTGCTGGGCCAGGTGCCCAAGGATCCAGCTTGTCACCAAAGATGCCTGACGCCCTGTCAGATGGCCGGAAGTATGAGGAAACTCAGCTGTGATTTTTCCCATCTCGGTTGGAGTGACTTGATTGAAGGCAATTAAGACCAGATAGTTTGCAAAAAGCTGGGATTGTCACCAGCACGATCCCTCAGGGATATCTGAACCCTCAGAGGAAAGCCCTTCAAAAGATGCAAATGCTTTCTATAATCGGCATGAGCTCAGCTTTTTCCAAAAACTTTGAAAATCTTGTTTATTCTGGCGTCGTTTATACCCATTGTATGTTCTGCGATTTCCTAAGACACCAAGTGTCTTCAAGTCCATGAGTGTCCTCGTCTGGGAGTGGGTATAACCCAAATGCGTGGATGCCGGCAGGGCACAACATGTGGCCTCCTGGAAACCTCTGGAGGCGGGAGCAGCCCCTGCCTCCAATCCTGGGCTCCTCCTCCCAGGCGAGGCAGGAGCCATGCGCTGTCAGGCGGGAGGGGCTGAAGCCGGCCTCTCTTCCCGCTGGACAGAATCCCGTGAGGCTTCTGTCACCTGCGCCCCAGTGCAGAGCTGCCCCAACAAGGTGTTCTGATGCCGCTGGGTCCCTGTGTCTTTTTCTCAGCAGGTGTAAAGAGGAGTGTGGCTAATTGCCTAACTCACATTCTCTCCCTCTCTCTCATAATTATATACATGATGGTAAGAGTCTAGCAGTCCTCACCCACACACATATGGCTACTCAATTCATGATACAGGCACTGGTGCAGTTCACTGGGTAAAGGATGGTTCAGAATACATTAAATGTCATATACATATGCTTTCACACACACACATCTATACATACACACACCCACGCCTCTATAAATACAGACCTCTCTATTATATATATATACACACACACGTACAAATCTACCTACATATACATGCCTCTATATATACATACACACTTACAGATATTGTCAGTAAAGAGTCAAGCTCTGTAAAATAGTTGAAGAGATTTATTCTGAGCCAAATATGAGTGACCAATGGCCAATGACTCAGCCCTCAGGAGATCCTGAGAAACGTGTCCAAGGTGGTTGAGGCACAGCTTAGTTTCATACATTTTAGGGAGACACAAGACATCAGTCGAATACATGTAAGATGTACATTGGTTCAGTGCAGAAAGGCAGGACATCCGGAGGAGGGGGCTTCCAGGTCAAAGGCAGATTCAAGAATTTTCTGATTGGCAATTTTTTGAAAGAGTACAGTTATTGTCTAAGGACTTAGGAGTGTCTGGG